ATATGGCTTAATGGAAGATGAGGCCAGAAGTAAAAATTTGTAAAATACATGAAGAAATCTGCAATAGGAAATCAGCCAAGAAATGTAACATCTGGAAGAGTCCATTCCAATCTGCCAAAGACTTTAAGTACATTGAAAGTATTCAAAGAGATAAATTGAAGAATGACTTCCATTAAAAGGTCGGCTTTTGTTAAAAACACAAACATTAAATTATAAATCAAAAGAAAAAAGTAAGTAGGGGCCAGGGAGATGGCTCAGTAGAATAAGCGCTTGTTTGGCAAGCACAAGGGCCTGAGTTCAATCCCTGGTTCTGCAAAAAAAAGAAAGATAAAAGTAAAACAAAATTAGGGAGAACTGAAAAATAACCCAATAAAAATCATTTAAGTAAATATATTGAATTAAATTGCTAAAAAATCTAATAGATGGGATGAAGTCTAGACTATTAAGACATGACTAAATTAGTGCTCCAACACATTGTTGATGGGGCCTGAGTTTGTGCATCCACTGTAAAAAATGGCTTGTAAAATTTGCTAAGTAAAAATACATATAATCTACAACCTACAAATTCTAATCCTACAGAGTAGTATACATACATACATACATACACCAGATGATACATACAGAAACTTTCACACCGGCATTTTTTCTAATAGTCAAATACAGGCCGGGGAGATAGCTCAGTGACTTAAATGCATGTCTGGCAAGTGCAAGGTCCTGAGTTCGATCCCTGGTACTACTACTACTATTATTAATAATAATTACAGTCAATACCAAAAGTGACTCAAATGTCATCAACAATTGAATACTAAAGTATGACAACGAGAAAGGATGATACACAGCTATATCTAACAATGATGAATCTCATAATGTTGAGTGAATCAAGTCAGAGCAAATACATAGTATATGACAGAAACATGCATGCATTTGGTCTCTTGTATTGTTTTAATATATAAACTATTAAAATCATGCAAAACGGAACTGCACATCTAAGTCTTAGAACTACAAGGAAAGTAAGGAAGTACCTGACAGTAAAAAGGTGGTATTTACCTCAGAGGAGAGGGAAGAGACTGACAAGGAGTGCACAAAGGGCTTCCTGGAAGTGGGCAGTATTCTATTCCCTGAGCTGGGCACAAGCCACATGATCTTGTCTTTCTAATGATTTATCAAGCTATACAGTGATATTTAGTGCATTCTTCTGTAAGTCTCTTACATTTTAACATACAAAAAAAGGGATTGTATGGATTTTCTTTTTTTTAAAGAAAGAATTTGGAAATGGAAGGTAGATACTGAGAAACTCACCAGGGATGCAGCACAGAGAAACAAAGAGATTAAAAAAATATAAAAGGGCAGTTAAGAGACATGGAGGATGGGTTGAAAGGTTCCAATATTCATCCAATAGCAATTCCAGAAGAGGATGGAGGTAATGGTAGAGGAGCAATATTTGAAGAGATAATTGCTGAGAATTTTCCAGATCTGAAGACAGACTTGGATCCAAGTACCTAACAGGATAAATAAAAATAAATCCAAACCCAGACATATCATAGTAAAACCACAGAGCATCAATGATAAAGAGATGTTAAACACTCTTAGACAATAAGTGAGATTATTTACAAAAGAACCACATTTGGCTAACAGATGTCTCATTAGCATCAAAAATAGCCAGAAGGATTGGGACAAACAATTATTAACTTAGGATTTTATATTCACTCCTAAATAAAAGGGAAAAATATATAGCACAGACTTATTGTACTACATTCTTACTAAACAAAAAATAAAAGGACATTGTCAGCAAGAAAAAAATATGGATGAGAATGCAAAAGGTGAGTGACCAAAGCAATGATAAGTGGACACAGAAATGGACACAATAAGTCAACAAATATGATCAACTCTTAACTGCAAGGAAAATAATACTCTTCACATGTTGAAGGAAAAGGGGGGCATGAAAACGTAACAATATGAATGTTACGGAGTGGTAGGGATACAGCATGTGAGCTTCTTAGCATGACTGAGAGATTAACAATACTGAACAGGCTGGATCGGGTGTCATGGTGCATGCCTGTAAGTGCAGCACTTGGGAGGCAGAAGCAGGAGAATTTCTGTGAGTTCGAGGCCAGCCTGGGCTACATAGTAAGATGCTATCTCAAAAAACACTAAACATCTACACATGTAGAAAAGCATGTAGTCAAACAATATCTCAAAAATTCAAAGGTACACCCAAAATAAAAATCACCAAACAAAATTGTCTCATGCCTCTTTTAAACCAGCAGAGAATGAAAAAAGCCTAAAAAACTGAAGATGGGTTGTTATAGTTTCAATTTTCTTTGTTTGGTATCAAGGATTGAACTCAGGACTTAACACTTGCCCAGGTAGGAGCTTATACAACTGAGCTATCTCCCAGCTCAATTTTCTCAGAGGGTAGAAAGTAAAAATTTAATCCCCAGACTTGCAAGCCTAACAGTTTATCAAACTGAAGACAAGATTATTAAATATATGCTTTGTAAGCACTTATGAAAAATTAGTATGAATTTACTGAGAAAAAGTTTTACGAAGCATGATTCTCTATCCACTGTCAATTTAAAAAAAATATTTGTTAGTTGCAAAAACAAAACTTAAGAAAACAGAAAAGGGACAAAAGGAAAAAAAATCCTATATGTTTCTATTCATATATTAACACATTTGTGTGTATGGTGGTGCTGCTGCTGCCAAGACTGCTAAGTTAGCAGATAAATGAGGGGATGTAAGCCCATCACAGTAAAAACTATCTCCACACTTAGAAACAAGGAAATGAAACAGTGAGTTGGCTTAGAATTGGAGGCCTTGATGTTCACTAACATGGATTTGCATCCTAGATCTGCTACTTACTGACTGTCAAATTACCTTGACCAAGTGACTTCAGTTTTACTTCTCTAATTTCAGACTGTGTGTAAAACAACAGCATAAGGGTGGTGTAACTAAGTATGTCATCCTATGACCTAATGTCATTCTCTCAACTTTTACCATTCTATGAATTAAAAAGTACACGAATTGAAAAAAAAAAACAGAGCGTATGCTTAAGTCTCCAGATGAGACACAACTAGAAGAGCAATGCAATAATGAAACAAATTCAAACTATATCAAAATACGACTATCATAAAATTAAACAGGAAAAAATAAAGACCTTAATTTAGACTAACAAAAAATCATGTACACAAATACACAATGGAGCAGATTTGGTATGACAATGATTCATTAGAGAGAGAGAAAGTGAGCTTGGTATTTAAGTATATGCTCTTTCAGGCAACAGTAGGAAGAGGTTATCAGACTAAACTACTGAACTCTCAGACTAGAGTAGCACTTACGATGAGGGGGCAAAAATCACACTACTGAGCACACATCAGATTACATATGAAGTATTATATTCTGTTAAGGAAGACCCTGGTGAAGTGGAATATACCTAGTAAGTACATGAAATAGGGCACTGGGACAGTGTTTCCAGGAGGAAGAGGACACAAACTGATAGCAGCCTCCTCATGTTTAGATACTCTTGACAGCTGACCTAGGTATATCTTTGGAGGTGTTATTAAGAAGCAGTTTTAGGTGATGTCTCCAAACAGAAGTTGAATGGCTACTGGTCAAGAAAACAAAGGAAGGCTTTCCTACCTGGTAGGAAGTTAAGACTTGTACGTGATCTCTGTACCTGAGACCTTTGCAAGGGCTAATGTGTCTATAAACTAACCGCTAATTGTCTCCCATGCAAAGGAAAACAAGAGCATGGTTTTTTGTTTTGTTTGTGTTTGTCTTTTTGAGACAGGCTCTTGTTATACAGTCCAGAGTGACCTTGAGCTCACTTTGTAACCCAGGTTGGTCTTCAACTCACAAGGATCCTCCTGCCTCAGCCTCCTGAGTGCTGGGGTGACAGGCATGCGCCATCACACCTGGCTAACAAGGACATCTTACTAATAAGAGCATCTTACTACTATTATTATCACTGTTGGTAACACTGATTAAGTGCACAATCCATGTGCCTCGTGCTGTGCTAAGCACACCCCATCAGGGGCAAGAGAGGGAGAGAGGGCTCGTATGACTTTTAGTTCTGAGAAATGTTAAGATACCTTTAGTGCATAGAATATTTCACAAATGATTCTCTCTAAACAAAAGAGATTAAGTTAGGGGCAGATTATGCTGATTATGGGGGACAGGGCAGAAAACCTAGTTTTTTTTCATGCTCTGAGCCTAACAACTAAGAAAATGTTTTAAATGTAACTAGAAGTCTAAACCTTTGGCCAAATCATTATCAGGCTCTCCAGAAAATGAGCTCTAATTAAGTTTTCTGGTCATCTGTATACCTGTATATTACAAAGCAGCCATTCCAAAATTGACTACACAGAAATGCTCATAAGAAATTTGCCTTTATAAGAATACTGGCTCTGATATTATAAATAAAACTTTTTAATGTTTTTCATATAAATTTACCACATTCTATAGACTTATGGTGACACATCCCTACTATAATTTACAAACATGTTTGAGACAAACATTTCCAGTGGTAAACAGGATAAACTGCTTCACTTTTTTCCAAAACCAAGTGCTTACATAAAATTTGCTTTAATGGGAAAAAAGTAGAATTGCTCTACCTTTTTCTGCCTAGTGGCTCTCTTTGGAACACTGGGGCATTTGAGTCGTGACAATACAGAATTTGAAACTAGAAGAAATGTTTGAGAGTAAGTTATTCTCTTCATTAAACTTAAGGGTAGAAAACCTTAAGATTGCCATTATCAAGTAATATTCCCATAGTTACATGATTAATTCGTATAATAACTGAGTAGATAACATAATCAAGGTCTTTTCAGGGTTCTGACACCAGTTCAGACCCAGATTCTTTCCATTCCATCAAAGGTAGAGACAAAAACAAAAAAATTTTCATCCTAATACATTAAAATTTACCATAAAATGTGTTACATAATACTTCTATTTTCATTAGTTCTAAAGGTCATATCATTCATTGGCTGAAAAGAACTTACCTCTAATGCATAATACACTGGTTTGTCTCTGCCAAGTTTGTAAGCCACTGTGGTTAGAAGGCCATGTTCAGAAAATACACACTGTAGGAAAGAAAAACATATTTCATTGTGGAGAGAATCAAAAATAGCATGAGAAAATTTATAATGCGAAAAAGACACAGACACAAAGTAATCAAATCAATAAATCAATTTTTTAGAATCTTACTCAGAATTATAAGTAATAAAAAACATGCTCTGCCTGTGCAAAAATATTTCTTCTAAGTCACAGCTGTGTTAAGAATGGGATGAGACCGAAGTTGAGATTTCCCACCAACACAATTAAAGACACACATACAAAATTCAAAGAACATAAAATGGCTCTTAATAGAATTCAAATTTAATGATTTTTTATCATTTTTTAAAATGTTAAACCCTAATGAAGATTTTGCAAAAGCTTAAAATTACATAAAAGCCACTGAATAGCAAATTATATTCAAGTATTATTTATATAAATTAATCTTTTAATTTAAATCCCAAACCAACCTTATGTCCTGTATTACACAGTAGGAAACAACCTGTTCCATACCTACAAGTGAAAGAATGAACAGTATGACCATTTTATTAAAGCAATAGATGAAACATTAAATAATACAAATGACACAGATAGGCACTTAATTTAGTAAAATAAGTCATTACGCTCATGTTGGATAACTTTATTGTTTTTCTGGAAGAAGTTTCAAAGTTCAGTCTAAAAGAAAATGAACTTAATCTTAATGAGAACAAAATGTAGCTATAGTACTTAGCTTAGCATTTAGTCACAGCCCATGACTGTATTTAGTGAATGGTAACAAATTCTATGTTCAGTTATAGTTGTGTTACTACTACCTTATACACAGAGTGAAGCATCATGACTAACAGTCATTCACCAATGGAGTGAGCTTAGGTCTACCATTCCTTTTTTGGGGGGGGAGGGGGCAAAACCGGGAATTGAACTCAGACCCTTGTGCTTGCCAGGGAAGTGCTTATTCTTCCTGAGCCATTTCCCCAGCCCCTACCATTCATATTCTTAAAAACTAAAAAACACTACTGTCTTTAGGCAGGGTAGGGAGGCTAGACTCAACACAGAGTATGAGACACTGGAGTTGAAAAGGGCAAGCACAGGGACCAGGGATCCAGTACTGCATGCTGTGCTGGCCCTGCACCCTGGGGTGTGCTGAGCCAGCGACTGAGTTAGGGTGTGGTGGCACATGGCTGTAATCCCAGCACTGGGGAGACTGAAAACAGGAGGATCACTAAGAGTCCAAAGCTGCATAGTGAAGCCCTGTTCAAGATACATATAAAAAAAATTGACATGGGGGGAAAAAGCTATTTAAGGTCCACCTTTCCTATTCTCCATGGAGGATCCAGTGGGATAAACTGAGCTGTAACATAACACGGTTGATACAAAATAAATGAGTTATTTTGGGGCAGTCATATCAGTATAAGCTTTGGGCTCTGCAACAAGTCTGCCCCTTGGACATTTGAGTGGTTTTGACTTGTTCCGGGGAGATAAGCATTCTAAACTGACAGCAGTAATGGTTAAAGAGAAAGTTTTCAATGGAGTTGAGATAACAAGGCTACAGTCACCCAAGCTTAGGATTCCCTCGCACAAGCCTTGCTGCTGTGCTCTGTGCAACTGCAGTTCTAACTGTGCTGGTGACATCCCAGCAGGTAGGACAAGGAATAGCACTGAGTTCAGGGACCAGCACAAGGATCTCTGCAGAAGCAATCACTTGCCAGCTCTAAGCCAACAGATCACATCAGTTGCATTTTTCTTCTGCAACAAAAGTGAACCAAATCCCTGGTTCCACCAAAAACAAAAACAAAAAAAAGTGAACCAAAGACAGGGCTGACCAAATAACTCAGCAGATTAAAGTGCCTACTTAGGTAGATGCAGGGGCCAGGGATCCGATCCCCAGAGTGCCGTGCTAGCCCCGCCCCCGGGGTGCACTGAGACAGTGATCGAGACTGGGCATGGTGGCGCGCGCCTGTAATCCCAACTCTTTGGAGGCTGAAAACAGGAAAATCACCACGAGTCCAATCTATGTAGGGAGACCCTGTAGACCCTGTACTAAAATACAAAAACAAAAAAAGAAGTGAACCAAAAACAGTTGTTTTTTTTTTTTTTCCTGATAAACATTTTCTTTAGGCACTACTGTTTTGAATAAGGGTTAGTCCAAGAGCATCCACCTCCCCTCACTCAGGTGAGATTCTTGGCCTGTTTAATGAAGAGGTGACACATTCAGGGATAACAAAACTAATGAATATTGAAGTTCATAAAGACACTGTCAAATAGCATTAGGAACAAATATTATATCTACAAACTAAAACACAAAAATCTCTACCTTTTACTACCATGACATTAACAAAGTTTCAAGTTAATCTCTTCATAAATATTCATAAAATGAAAGTTAATGATCATTTCAAGCTTTTTCAAGGAGAAATCATGCCAATTTAGCACCCACATAAGCACTACCCTGATTATATACCAATATTATGTATTTAGTACAGGGCCTACAGGGTCTCACTACACAGATCAGACTCATAGTGATCCTCCTGTTTTCAGTCTCCCAAGCACTGGGATTATAGGGGCATGCCACCATGCCCAGTCTTAGTCACTGTTGTGACATCTCAGCACACCTTGAGGACGAAGCCAGCACAGCACACTGGGGATGGAACCCTAGTTGTTGAGCTTGCCTAAGGAAGTGCTTTAGTCTGCTAAGCTATCTGGCTGGCCTACCAATTTTAAAGTACAAAACTGCTAAGAAGGCCCAAGTCACTTAATAAAGTAAATTCTTAAATTAGTATATTTAGTTAAGTACTGATTGCTATAAAGTAAGAAGAGAATTCTTCACTATCTTTAGACTAGTTTCCTTTTCTTTTTTTTTTTTTGTCTTTTGAGACAGGGTCTAGCTATGCAGTTCAGGCTGGCCTTAAGCTCACTTTGTAGCCCAGGCTGGTCTTGAACTCACTTTGTAGCCCACGCTGGTCTCCAACTTGCCAGGATCTTCCTGCCTCACCCTCAAGTGCTGGGATTACAGGTGTGCATCACCACACCGAGCTTAGATTGTCATTTTTAAAGCAGTACACAAGGAACTACCTTCCTCTTAAGTTATATTATCCCATTTTTCTGGTCATTAACTGGATGTGGAACTTTCAGCATTTACATGGTCTACCTAACCTGTCTCAACAGTTTGCTGTGTTCAAATATCCCAGAAGCAGGTCTGACTCTTCTACCTTCTTGAGAGGTAAAGGTTGTTTTCTTACCTTCAAAACTCTTAGCAGTTTGGAGATGTGGGATAATGATGTATAAGGGACAAAGTTAGGTAAAGCCAGGAAGAAGGTAGAAGACTTTCTTACAACTAGACAATACCTCTGGGGAGCTAAGGTACCTACCACCTTAGGTTTTCTTTTGAAAAATGAAATTTAATTTTCACATAGTACAGATTCATTTTAGAATGCTTGGACATTACAAGCTAAACTAAAAGTATAATGTTTTTCAGCATGTTGAACAAGAGATGGACATTCCATTGAACTCTGATCTGCCTGTCATTTTCTCTCTGATGGGAAAGATTTTTTTGTGTGTGTGTGCTAGGAATTGAACTCAGGACCCACCCGGGGAGATAGCTCGGTAGAGTAAGCGCCTGCCTGGCCAGTGCAAGGTCCTGAGTTCAATCCCCACTACCGCAAAAAAAAAAAAAAAAATGTACATGCATCAATTCCTTAAAAGAAATGCAATCATTTTAGGGCTGGGAGATAACTCAGTAGAATAAGCACTTGCCTGGCAAGCACAAAGTCCTGAGTTCAATACCTGGTACCACAAAAAACAAAACATGAACTTGGGACCTTGCTTGGGTTTCCAGGCATGGCCCTGTGCCACTGCGATATATCCTCACCCTGAGAATTAACTAAGTGCTCAATCCCAATCTCTCCAACCTCTTAAGACTTTGTTCTGCCCATCAGTTATCCCACATTTATTTTATAATACCCACTGTTCTCTCACACTCCAAAGAAACATTCTCTGGTCTTATCACAACTTTAAAACAAACCCAAAATTCCCCAAATGTTGCATGAATCTGTGAACCTCACAAACTACATACTTCTCTCATCATTCCCACATGTTTGCATTTCTACTGAGCATGTTCCATCCTGTTGTCTCTACTTTATACATCTCCTTTGACCACTTGAGACTTGGCTCCTGTCCTGAGCACCGTTCTAAAATTCCATTCCTAGAGTCACTAAATGAAGACCTAATGTCCACATACAATGCCCCGCTTTCAGCTCTTAGTCTCCGTAAGCTTTTTATAGTGCAGTAATTGGCACTGCTCTCCAGTCTCCCCTGTTTAGTGTCTCTACCCTGGCTTTCCATATTAATAAATACCATATTCTGTTTTTGGCATCTTTATCACTAGTACATCCTACTTCTCCTAAATATCTCCTTTACCTGAACACTTATTCTTGATCATGAGATTTGCTTTCATTTTTACAATTTATTTTATTACTATATGTTTGATACATAATAAATACATTCATAGTGAGGCTCTGGTACATACATACTATTTGGATTCTTTCTACTTTCCCTCCTACATCCCTCCCTATGCATTTATTACTTCAAAATCTCACCTTTATAGGGGGATTCAATCAACTTTTGTAATATACTCAATTCAAGGAAACCTTTCTGACATAGGAACAACAAATACAGAAGAACCCTGGTTAAGGAATGAAGTGAATTAGGATGCAACTAGTAACTTCCACAAACTAGCTGAATGATGTTAAATAAGTTTGTACTCTCTCAGTTTCCTAATCTATAAAATGGGAATAATAGGATTTGCAAGTGAAACCTGATATATTATATACTAGCCATTATCTGAACATGTGCTATAATTAACAATATTATTTTAGTTCTTAGGGCATATTTGTTTCCATTCACCAGCGCATGTAATTAAGATCTTTTTTAATGTTTAAAAGACTGAACTTCAAATAGTACAGCTAATGATATGTAACAGAAAAACACTAAACTCAGAGTCAGAAAGTTTAAGGCTGAAATGTGGCTTTGTGTTTGAATCAAGACTATGGCCTTACCCAAGCCCTTGGCCTGAGCAATGACTTTTCTTTTTTTTTTTTTTTTCCGAAACTGGGGATTGAACTCAGACCCTTGCACTTGCCAAGGAAGCACTTATTCCACTGAGCCATCTCCCCGGCCCCATGAGCAATGGCTTTTCTCATCCTAAAGCAGGAGTTACTTCTTACTATGCTTAGAAATGCAGGTGAATGGTGGGGTACTGAGAAGCTTAGGGAACTACTCAAATTTCTACTTCTTTGTGTTTCTTGTCAGAAGTGAAACTGAGATAAGAGGGAAAAGCACAAAGAATAGTGGCCCATGCCAGTAATCTCAGCTACTTGGGAGGCTAAGGCAGGAGGATCTCAAGTTCAAGACTACCCTGGCAACTTATGTGAGATCCTGTCTGAAAATAAAAAGAAACAAATGAAAAAGGCTGTAGCTCAGTGCCTCCTGTGTTCAACCCCCAATGCCATAAAAATAAAAGAATGAATAAATAAAAGGAGAAAGAAACAAAGCTAAGAAACAATTGTGAAGATCCTATAAATGACCTCATTGTTATGATGAGAAAAACTTGGACAGAAATAGCATGCTGAAAACTCTATCATCTATGACTCTTCTTCCCTTCTTCTTAGCCCTGCCTCCCGCCCCGCCAAATCTCTTCAAAAAAGGCAGTAATTCTTTGAAGCAATATATAATTCCTGGGGTAAAACAGGCTATGAATCTTACAAACTGAGGTTTTTACAAGCTGCATCTCTGTGTTTACATATGGTGCAATGCATTTCACTTGAAATAGATTTTAAAAAATAGTAAAACATATGTATATCAATATTGTCAAAATTAATGTATTGGTTTTATGGCTTAGTTGAAATTCAAAAACTTACTTCTATCAAAGCACTAAAGGGTAGAAAGAAACAAAACAGCACTGGGGTTTTTTTGTTTGTTGTTTGTTTTTCTTTTTTAAATTATAATTTTATTTTATTTTGAAGAATAAAAACAAAGCAAGAAAAAAAAGACAGAAATGGGGTACTGCAACAATATGTATGTTACAGATTTTCAAAACAAGAATAGCTGATTAACAATGGTTAATATATTATCTATTTTTACTGTTAAATCTGTTGCTCAGAAAAAAATCTATTGCTCAGATTAGCAGATACAGTTACGTAATACTGGACATATGATTGAATATTACTGCTTGCCTTTTTTTATTCTTACATACTTTCTTTTTTTTCCACAATTTTATTGAGGAACAAATAGCAATGAGACAGTTTCAAACCAAATTGGTAGGACAGTTTCAATAATTATCACATTGCATACATTCTTCCTAGTAGTTAATTGCTGTACAAGATGCAGACATGATATCCTATTTACAAACACCATTAGAACAAATCCCTCTATTCATTAAGAGAATGTAACTATATATCAATCCTAACCACTTTGAATACACAGATACAAAATGGACATTCATCTGTATCCCCTTTTTTGTTAAGTTTCGTTATTTGAATATTATAGGTGAGTTAACTCAGCAAAATATTCTAAAAGAGTCCAGTACTCCATAATAGTATTGGGTCTTCTGCTTCACTAGCAATGTCAGAAATTGTTGACCTGAGTCCCCTACACCTCAACATAACACCATGGCTTTACTGCTTATACTTCGTTTTTATACTTTTCTGCTGGATGGTTAAGACCAAGGTAAAGCAGGACCTATGCAATAAGAGTTGTAGCTTTTGGATCTGATAAGGCCGGTGAAATCCCCTCAAGATTTATCCTGAGATCCTGTACCTCAGATTGTAGAACCTATGTCGGTGTCAGCCATGTAAATGAGTCACGGCCTTTGCTTGGCCAATGTGCTGTCTGTGAAAGCCTGAGAGAATGTTTTCTCTCCATGTGACCCTCCTTAGGCACACTCTACATCATCGATCACTTTCCTCTTTGGCCCCATAATCTCCTTGATCAGAAAATTTGGGACACTACCGAGTTACATGATGTTACAGTACAAGTTCTCATATGTCCTGAGTCTTAATTGACCTTGGAAGGCTAGGGCCAAAATGTTGGCTTTCCTAGCAGCCCTCCTTTTTCTCTAATTTTGGTCTGCAAACTTAGGTTGTTAACCATCCAGAAGATAAGCTTATTGTTATTACCCTACAACCTAGGCTGTTAAGCTTAACCTCACTATCTGTCTGCATATCAAACATCTTAGGCATAACATGGAACAGGTTATTTTTCATCTAATATTGATATGTTACACTTTAAGTCTCTACAGAACATGATGAAAAAACATTAAAAAATTAGAATATATTTTTTAAAATAGGCATAAAGAATTATATACTTCGTATGTTTACACATAAGTCCAAAAATCTAAGCATATAAAACCTTGAAGCAGGACAGTCCCACAACATTCCTTTTCCTGTCTCCTGCCTTCATTCACCATCCCCTTCTTTTTGAACAATCATCTAACCGAGAGACAGCACAACAGCAACTGGCATGTCATGATAAGCAGCCCGTATGCAGAAGATCAGAAGGACAGGCACTCCAAGCATGAAACTACTATTACAGATTACCATCTTCAGTGCAGTTGCTTATTTCACAGGTATCAGTATATATAGATAGTCAGGGTGAGAATCTTTCCAATTAACTGCTAGATTAAAAAATCTTCTGAAGATTCTCAGGATCATTGCCTTGCCCATCTTCTACATATAACTGTATGGCTTGACATTGCTATGTTTCCTAGCTCTTCTCCTTTCCCTCTCTTGATTAGTTAGTCCTCAAGATCCTGCTTTCCTTTTACTTGTATCATACCTTTCTATTTGTATTTCTTCTTTTGAGTTCTTATACTAGGGAAACTACACGATATTTACACATGTGTGTAGCACTGGTTTTGAAGTCTGTTTCTTTAACTTACGTATTTTTGGCTTGTCCATCCTGGAAGCACATTTGTCCTACCAAAGCAGCAGACTGGTCCCCTAAACACTGAAAATATAAATGACAAAATTACTCATTTCCTTTTTACAAGGATTTTTCTTATTTATCAGGGAATGAAATTTCCTTTTATTTCCTCCATTTGGCCATTTTTTCTCATTTGTTATTACCCCTACAGGATAATAGACATGGGAAGAGAATGAGAATTAATTTCTTCAAAAAACCCTCAATAAACCACCCACAATATGTCATATGAGAACAAACATCAGCCCATTTTGCTACTCTTACTTGTTCTAATTTAGGAAGGGAGTGATTGATTTAGAAGAGGAAAGCTGTACTATGGGGTAGGGATAGCAAAGTAGCAGGGAGACATTTGGTGATGAAACTTACCCCAGATATTGGCACACCTTCCAAGGCCCCAGCTTTCTAATAAAAATTTTTAAAGAAAGAATATGAAGTCACAAGTGTAGTCTCTGCTAACATAACCAACAGGAATGAACACAAAGAGCAACATGCCAGAGGACATGGTCAGACAAGACAAAACAAATATTTCAACTACATGTGTGGTATAGAGCATACTAGAAGTATTCCTAGAATGACAAAGAGAGGCACAACATAGAATGAACATGAAACATTGGACTGGGAGTTGGGAGAAATGGACTCTACTTCTGGTTAGTTAGTGTTAGGCCACAAGTAGGCTGCTGAACCTCTCCACATCCCAACTAATGTACTTGCAAACTAAATGACTAAGATATCCTCTATATAGCTAGTGAACAAGCATGGAATATATATTTTTGGAAGGCTATAATTTATCAATCCTTTTTAGTCAAGTTGCTCTTAATTAAGAAACAAGAGTGTTCAAGTACTGAATATTTATCCATAGCAAACATCATGCTTCAAATCTGAGTAAGCCACAGCTAACTGCATGAGTAATGGTTTTTGTTTTGATCAGTATGGCTAACATTTTAGGAAGAAAGATGAGATGGTAAGTACCTGATTGTGGAATTTATAAACTTAATGGAAAAAAATACAGTAAGGCTGGGGGTATAATTCAGTGGCAGGCTTCTTGCTCAGCATGTGCAGAGCCCTTGGGTTCGATCTCAAGTACAACCCAAAACAAAACAAAAAAATAAGCAGCAACCACAAAAATAACCTCTAAAAAAGGAATTTTTACTAATATTAAGGCATATTGGGACATTAAAGGCAGTGATCCCCCAAATATGTGTGAGATACCAGGAAGAACAAGAAATTAAAGCTTTAGGTTCCTCTGCCTGGTATTTGTGAACAAGTCTTCATGGTCCTGGGAGTTTTGGGCACTCTTGTTAACGTAAAGGTAAGAGCAGAATCTGCATTCATCTAGCTATGATGATAACGAAATGACAAGATACATGTGCAGGCTCTTTACAAAATAGAAAATGCTCCCTAAATACTTGATATTATTTTATTTCTTTCATACTTGCTGGTTAACTCAGGGCCTGCTTCATATATCTATATCTATCCATTTATCTATATATCTGGAACTTGGATATTAAGTAAAGCCTGAATTACAAAAACCTCTTAAAGGTTTTTGAATGAATAGGAAACCCAGAGGCTTTTTGTTTGTTTTGCAGTACTGAGAGCTGAACCCAAGGCCATGTACACGCTAGGCAAGCACTTTGCCATTGAGCTACACAGCTAGGACTTTATATCTTGATATATTTAAATACTCTAAGAGGGTTTTTGTTGGGTCTCACTATGCAGTTCAGACTGGGCTTGAGCTCACTTTGTAGCCCAGGCTGGTCATAAACTTGCAACAATCCTCCTGCCTCAGCCTCCCAAGTACTAGGATTACAGGTATGTGCCACCATTACTGGCAAGAAGTTTTCTTATGCTTCAAAAACTATCAAACTCTCAGTAGGATCTACTGTGGGTTCAGTCAGATGTGTAAGGCTAAAAACACTCCTTTTCTTCATGGAGGGGACCTCTGGAGGATTCCTGCAGCACTCTCCAATGAAACATGCAGAAAAAGAAACAGTACATTTCCAGCTAACTGGTCTGAAAGGTTGGCCCATGTATATTTAAGATAGATGTTTAGGTCATTTAAAAACTCTCATCTAGTTTCTAAAGACCAAACTACATCATTAACTGCACTTTGTAAGAGGTAACATCAGAATCTCTCATTCTAGAAAATTACCTAAGCCTTTTATTTTAAGAAATATAATTCTCAGTCTTATGGTATACTTAAAAAAAAAACTAGCAAGATTTGGAAGGTCATGGAAATTCTAGATATTTTCTTTAGTAATGGATTTCTGCTTGTCTAAAAGTACATGGAAATGCACTGTATCTTTTCCAAATGAATGGGTGGCACAATTGGTGAACAACCTACTCACCAGGCTATGAGAGATTTTCTACAGTCAGCAAGAGAGAAAATGGGGGACAGAAGCATAATATTTTAAATGCAAGAGAAATTTAGGCATGTTTCTTCATTCTCTGAAACTGTTTCTCAAGAATAGTTATTTTTCTCTGACACAAGTCAACTTGTGGCAGCTCTTAAATTATCGAACACTTATACTACAGAAAACCAGTGAATGCACCTCCTTTGTGAAACTGTATGTTGTTTTGTAAAACTTTAGTACCAAAGAAATTGTTAAAAAATTCTTGATCATTTCATCTAGAGGACTTAGTGTTTAACCATCATTACTAAACTAAAAGTGGAGTTTCTAAAATATTTTTTATGTAATGTATACAGAGTATTTTGGAATTTATATCAAACTTATTTTTCAATGCTATAAATTCCGGGTCTTTGTGTTCAAATTCTCCTAAGGGTTTTAATTTCTGATATTTGATTATATACTTTCAATGATGCCAAGTACAATTTTTACTGAAACTATTATTTTCCTGGGTTTCAATAAAACAGTAATGAAAACTTTCATTATGGAAATCAATCTAATTAGCCCTCCCAATTCTGAAATAGACTCTGCTTTCCATTTCTTCACTAAATTTTTCTTAGGCTGGCAATGGTTTGTCAATTAGAGATCCAAAGGAAAAAGAACACCATTAAAATGGAACAGTCACTGGTCTACATTAAAGGCAGACATATAGCTACAAACGAGCTATTTGTATTTAAAGAATAAACTTGTTTCCACATTCCCAAACTAGTATTTAAAGTTATCCTGTTAATGCTTCACAAATAATAAAGCAAAGTCCATTTAAGTTTATAACTATAAGATCAATTGGTAAGGAGTCTAAGGTTTTTAGTGACAATACTAAATAATAGAAATTCTTATTTTATGTATTACGAATGTTTACAGTGAAGTCACAAACCCCAAGCTACAAAACACAACAAAATTGACTTTTGAATTCTGAATGGTAAAGTTTTTCTTAAAGCAGTTTCCCACAACTTTTTTTTTTTTTACCATTAATCCATAGATCTCAGAAGAACTCCGGACATTAGGAAGAATTTCCATTGGAATACCAAAAAATCTGAAAAACAGTATGTTTGGGTATATGATACTGTTCTACATAAACATGTAGAAATACTTATATGAAATCAAAGGCAAAGTCCTAATTAGAAAATGGATGCATTTGAGGGCTGGTGAGATGGCTCAGTGGTCTAAAGCACCTACTTAGAACAAGCTAGACTAAGCAAAGCACAGGGACCGCGGTTCAGTCCCCCAGCACCACATGCCAGCCATTCCCACCCCCTGGTGGGCTGAGCTGGCCACACACACACACACACAAAATAAATAAATAAATAATTTAAAAAAAAAAAAAGAAAATGGATGCATTTGAGCAGTTAAAAATAGTAATAAGTATAGGAAGCAGTAGAACATAGTTGGATGCTTGAATAGTTAACATTCTAACTTCATGAAATAAATTCAATCAAAATTTAAAAGCACACAAGATTAATTTGTCCATGCCTGGCAAGCACAGGGTCCTGAGTTCAATCCCTGGTACCACAAAAAAAGATTAATTTGTCCTGTTTATTTAATATACATTAATTGTCTAACAGCTGGGTATGGTTGTGTATGCCTATAAACTCCGCACTTGGGAGAGAGGCTGAGGGAGGAAGAACACTGCAAGTCTGAGACCAGTCTGGGCTACAAAGTGAGCTCAAGGCCAGCCTGAACCACATAGCAAGATTCTGTTTAAAAACAAAGACAAAAAATAAATAAATAATAGTCTCTCTTTAAAAAAAATTTGTGTGCATGATTGAAATATCAACAGTTAAATTTTGGCAGTGCAGTGACATCTAAAAATAGTAAGATTTACGTTATAAATAAATAATGTACAGGGGAAGCTATACTTAGTGCAAAACACAACTCACTCGCAGAGCTCTTTATCCCATTCCAAAGAATGAATGTTGAAAAGCATTGTCCTACTTGCATTTGTGACATCTGTACAATGAACTCCTCCGTTGACTCCTCCTGTTAAACTCTAGACAGAATAAAAAAGGAGAGGTTCAATTTTTACTTGTTTGCAATTTGATGTACACATTGTTGAGGGCTATAAACAGTACAGAGCACATAAAGCAGAAGAATAAAATATTTCAATTATTTCATTTTCTAGTTTTCAGCAATTTCTAAAAGAAATAAAATGTGAGCAATAAATGTAAAATTTTCAACATAAACAAGTGAAAATAATTTTATTGAACATTTTATTTAACCTGAAATACCATTTTAAAAATGTAAGCAGTATAAAATTATTACTGAGACATTTTACCTTCTTTGTACTATGTCTTTGAATATCGGGTGAATCCTTTTTTGGTACCAGAGATCAAACTCAGGAGCTTGCACTTGCCAGGCAGGCACTTAAGCCACTGAGCTATCTCTCTGGCCTGCGTGGCATGAATCCTATACTCACAGCATATCTCTCAGATTGACGGCATTCAAGTGCTGATAGCCACATGTGGTTAGTGGCTATTGTATTAAGATAATTCTAGTCAATCAGTGCTCAAATATAACAAAATCAGTTATATTTTCATCTTGCTTTTGGCTTGGTGAAATCAATGAAAATGAAAATGTTTGCCTCTTAAGGCTTTCAGAGAAGTCTGTGTTGTTAATGCCTCTGAGTGACAGTGAGTGTGTGTGTGTGTTCCTTTCCAACAATTGACCTGGCTATAAAGCACATGTCCTGAAAGCAGTTTTAAACTCTACATTATCACCCTGCCGTGACACGGGAAGCAATGCTGCCTTCCTTTATGCAGAAGCAGTAAGAGGTATGAAAGAAACCAAGGTCAATAAATTGTATCCCACGTGCTATAGCCAAATTGTGTTCCCCTCAGTCTTCTGCAGCTCAGAGTTCCCACATCCTGCCAAGTCTGGTCAAGGCAATAGTCAGAGCTACCTGTTCAACTGTGCGTGTTACAAAGAAAACTGGCCAAAAACATTAAAGCACAAACTACCCTAATCCAACACAGGGAGAGGTAAGAAAAGGCACCTCATTCTGGAAGTGGTTCTGAAAGACCTGTTCTGTGGATGTGGCAAACGAGAACAGGGACAATATTTCCTTGACATTTCCTCAAATGTCAAAAAAAATTCATCACATACTTAATGAAGTATTTACAAATTAAATTATATATCTAGGATTTGTATTAAAATGATTTGTGGAAATAAAGAGTACGTGAGTATAACTGAAACAAGAGTAGTCCACAGGTTGATGATCACTGCACATCACTCTCTGCTGGAGGTGTTTAATCACACTATTCCCTCTACTCCCTAACACTGGAAAATCCCCATAATAAAACTAACAGCAAGAGAGAGACATCGACAGAACAACCAGAATGCTGACTTTTAAGATGTATCTTGGAAATATTTGAAAAGTTAATTTTTACCCATCCATGTTCAGCTTACACAAAATGACTATAACAAATTTGTATTATCACTGAGTTTCATATTATGGCTTGATTATACAAAAGATAAACATGTACTGTTTAAAGTAGATGATAAAAGTAGCCTAGGTGTTCTACCATGTTACGTAGTTATTTCCTATGAAATGGCTAGCGGGGAAAAAGTGTATGCTAAGAAAGGCAACATAACTTATTTATCCTAAAGATAATAATATATATGTTCTACCTTTGGTAATTATCTTTCATTTTCAATGACATAAAGCCAGAAAAGAAGAGGAAGTATGCAAAAGTACCTCTCAAACGTAGACTGTGATACTTTGCTGTCTTTTTAGAGGTTTTTCTGAACAATTCTGCTACTTAAAGTTTGAATTACTGATAGAAAATGTCAGGCAAGGGCTGGTGAGATGGCTCAGTGGTCTAAAGCACCTACTTAGAACAAGCTAAGCTAAGCAAAACACAGGGACCGCAGTTCAATCCCCCAGCACCACATGCCAGACAGCCCCGCCCCCTGGTGGGCTGAGCTGGCCACACACACATAAATAAATAAATAAATAAATAAAATGTCAGGCAAGGAAATCTAAACAATTTCAGAAAAAAATTCCCCGTATATTCTCCAGAATTCTACATACATTACATGTAAACATACCCAAATAAGCCAGGAATCAATGGTCCCAAAAAGAGCTCTATTTTCTTCAACAGCCTTTTGGACTTTTCTCACATTGTCAAGGAGCCAGCGAAGTTTCACTGCACTGAAGTAAGTGCTAAGTGGAAGGCCTGTCTTGCACTAAAACAGGAAGTTCAGTCAGCAAATCAAATCTTAACAGTTGAAAACCAAACCTCCAAACCAAAGAACTAAAAAAAAAATGACATAATATTTAATGGTCCTAAAGGCAATCCTACAGTATTATTAATGACACAGTATTCCTATTGCATGACCCATGTTCAGGAAAAAATATCAGAGTAATTATGTTTGCAGTTCAAAGAGCATCCACATAAAAATGTGGAGAGATAATTAGTGATACAACATCCTGTGGTATGTTAATATACAATGGTAATGTTAACTTTTGCAATCAGTTACTACTACACACAGAACCTAGCTCTGAACTCTGCAGTTTATATTTCAGGAAATTGATGAGCTTAATCAGAGAGTATGTCAAATCATAAACTAATGACCATTACACACAAACACACATTCAAATATTAATACAGTCAGTAGAGATCAAAGTATTGACAAAGACATGCCAGACTGAAGCAACAGAGTTGCTCTGGCTAATGTCAGCAAATACATAAAACAAAAGGAATTTTGATGGAATAAATGCTAAAGGGTAAAAATAAAACAAACATCTGGGTTTATCAATCATTGAGAATTGGTGAGGCCCAACTCATTTCTGTTAGTATACTTAATATCACATTTATGTACAAAGACTAAAGTTAAAAGAGTTAAGCCCAGTGTTGTGCTATGCTCCTATATGTAATCCCAACTACTGTGGGAAGCTGAGGCATGGGGATTGTACATTTGAGGCCAGCCTGAGCAGTTTAACAAGATGTAGTCTCAAAGTTTTCAATTAAATAAAAATGTCTTGGACTGTATCTCAGTGGAAGAGCATTTGCCCAGCATGCATGAGGCCCTGGGTTCTAGCTCCAGTACCACAAAAAAATTAAAAATAAGGTTAAGTGGTTAAGAGAACACATACATGGAAATAATACAACTACTTTTGCTTCCTTGGAGATCTATTCTTATCACTGAACAATAGAAAGGGAAACCTTTGTCCTTCTTGTCTCACAGCTTTTATAAGACAACTCAAACCAGGGTATTTAATACTTAAATGCTATTGGTAAATTAGGAATCTTGACTCAAAATTTTCTCGTTTTCCTAGGGGAAGAAAGGATCCATGCTCAGAAATAATTATTAGTCTTGAAGGACCAAGGGTCATTCCACAGGATGTCCTAAAGGCTTCAGTGAGGTAGTTCACAATAGCTTATGCTTAAAGATGCCAGTAGAAGGTGTAAAAGTTGCTTTAAGTGGCATTTGGGAGAAAAGCATGCGCCCCTGAAGCAACAGACAGCTGGAGGGAGTTAAGCAGGATGACAAAAGAACAGAACAGGGAATCGGCTAGAGTTCATTCAGGACAAGCCTGAAGTTAAGGGGGCGGTGCAGAACACAGGGAATCATTTATGCAATTAATGGGATTTGAATCCTAGTTTCAAATCCAAGTACCAAAAGAAAATACCAAAAGCATTAAAAAAAAAAAGATAAGCAAACAAACAACAGTAAAAGGTAATTTCTTTTTGGATACCAAAAGAACCTGGCCTTGACCTTGCTAAGAAAAATACTTTATTTCAAAAAATTTCTCTCCCTTCATTTATCTGAAGAGAGATCTGTATAAAGACTGCAAAGTAGGTAATTTCTGTTGGCTCTCTTCATATGAAATTAAAAGTGGTGTTGAATGAAGGGCTAAAAGAGGTACATTTTCTCTGTTCCAGAACCCAGATGCTTAAAGTCTCAAAAGTCTTAGGAATATTTTTCAGTGGGAAATAGGAAAAAAAGGGGTGTTGCTTTAACTTACAGAAAGCACCCCTGGGGAGTATGGTTTAAGCCACTGAGATGTAGATTAATCCCCTCCAGCCTGTCAACTCTAAGAGTATTAGTACTCCAACCTACCACAGGAAGAGAAAGACAGGAAGGTAAGGCTTGATTAGGCCTCCACTGTAGCTAGGAAATATTCTATACATTGCACCAAGTAACTATTCTGCCATAAATGTAAGGCCCAGATAGTCTTTTTAATGAAATCTGTAAACTTCTGTTTTAAACAAATATTCTTTTAGTATACTTTTGAAGAGATCTCTTACCTTGACAAAGTTATTATTTCCTGGAATTCTTTTACTAAGATTCTCAACGGTAGACTGGGTTCTTAGATCAAGCCACACTATAGACCAAAATATAATTAATAATACACATGAAAAACTTCATAAAAATAAGAACTTAATGAAATCACTGTCAAGGATAGGAGACTGATTAGTTTCCATAAGCAATTAAAATGCTGTAGCTTTCACAAGACAGAAATTAGAAAGTTAGAAATGAATGGGGATATTGTTAGAAAAGAATAAATTTATAGGGAAAATTTAAAGCTTTTACGCAAAATTACAGACCATGTTAGGAAACAATACAAACCTTCATGCTCTTATTTTGTATGTTTTTTTCTAATAGGAAAAACAACTATGAAAATGTTTGGAATATGTATCTTCAAAGCACATTCAAGTGCTGAGAAGACCTAGTGGAAGGCTGATTGGTAAAGCAAATTCATAGGCCACAATAAACTACCAAAGTATATTTTCAAAAATTTGGGAGTAGAACCAGGTGTGGTGGCGCGTGCCTGTAATCCCAGCACTCTGGAGACTGACACAGGCGACAGTAGGATTGTTGGCAGTTCAAGACCAGCCTGAGCTACAAAGTAAGCTCAAGGCCACCCTGAACTGCACAGCGACCCTGCCTCAAAAAGGCAAAAGAAAAAAGAAAACTTAGAAGTAACTGTGACAAATGCAGAAGACCTATCCTTATTATTGAAGGAATAAAATATTTACTTTCACACATATGAAATGCTTATTTACATTAATCTTTCAAATTGTACTAGACCTAAAATGCAAGAAATATTTTAGAAATATTTCTATTTCCATAGAAAAGTCACCATTTTCTATGCTGCACTATAGGAAAAAAATCTCCATTTTAGTGGATCAACATTACTAAATTGCCCTCACTAGACAGTATTTGTTTTCCTTCATGACAGAAGGCTCGGAGAAGAGAAATTATTAAGCAGACACAAAGCACTTGTGTGTGCTTCGTGAGATTTAATTTTTGTACTTAACTTTTAACAACTTTTGATCCATCCATGGCCCCTTGATATTTTTAGGACACTGACTGTGCACAGATGCCTCTTGAAAAAACTAAGACTCATAGTCTATTTAAAGGACGCCAGGGATAATAACACAGGCCTGCCCACTACACATTTGAATGCTTAGTTATTGTCTAGTTTGGTGCACTCTTAACTACATTAGTCTGCTCTCTTCACTTAAAATTAATTATTTCCTGTAATGAATTTTAATCAATCCTAATTATTTAAACTATCATTTCTCTTGGGGACCCTGTTGCTTGATTTGATAGTGGCTATTTCCCATTAGATTTAAATCAAGAACTTCAATACTATTTTCCACAGGTATAAAACACAGCAAGAAAAAGACTCATTACAGCCAAAAAAAAATGAAGAAAAGAACAAGACCATGAAAATATACGGCCCTTAAATGAAATATCTGCATGTGCTGTCCAATATATATTCCTCTTACACTTGGAAAGAGCATCTCAAATTCTCTTGAGGGAGCCAGCTCTCCATCTCAGCATGTGGCGTGCCTGAGATCAACTGCACTTCCCATCTGGAGCTCCTGTACTGAATCTGGACTCCAGTGGTTGATTCAGGAGAGAGATGTGGTTGAATACCCCAAGTAGGATTTGTGTACCATCTGCAATAGTTCCTCTTTGCAGCTAAGCCTGGCAGTGTGACTTGGGTCTGCTTCCCTCCTGAAGGGAGAGCTGAATCTACCAAGTCAGAAACTATCCAAGAAAAGTTCAATTTCAGGGAGAGTCAGGTGATACTGTTCGAGTTCAGAATCAAACAGCACCTAAACTGAGCTATTCTTGGCTGGCTGGCGCCACTTAATAAAAAATTCCTTTTCTTTTTTCTTCACTAAGAGTTACATTTTCTAATATTTACACTGTGATGGATACAAGCCATTAGTGACATCATTATGGAGGTGGCAAGATCTCCCATGCCCAGGGAACCAGGGAATCCACTTTTTACACAGTGGCAACAATATACAGTGACAAAAGTGGACCTTCCTTATAGTTGAGCAACCTTAGCAAGAGCTACTGGCTTAACAGGAGTTACTGGAAAAGGTAGAATAGAGAGAAAAATTTTAAATCTGTGATAGGTGGAATGAACAAGCAACTTGGAGCCCTCAATGTTTCAAATTACAGTGAGATATGAGTTTAAAATCAATTTAGTGAGTTTATTTATTTATTTACGTGTGTGTGTGTGTGTGTGTGTGGCCAGCTCAGCCCACCAGGGGGCGGGGCTGACTGGCATGTGGTGCTGGGGATTGAACTGTGGTCCTTTGTGCTTTGCTAAGCTTGTTCCAAGTAGGTGCTTTAGACCACTGAGCCATCTCACCAGCCCAATTTACTGAGTTTTGATTACCTACTGTGCCAAATGAAACACAATGTATTAGAATGGTAAATATTAAGTTCAGTGTACTTCCTAAGATAAAGATTGATGGATGTGATGGTGATCTGGCTGATCTGGCTGGCTAGATGGGTGTCCCCTTCCTCCCAAAGCTGTGGCTTGGTAGAAGATGAAGACCACCCCTGATAAAGGAAAACTGTTTCCTTGGTCAACAATATACGAGTAGCTGTACTCCCCTGGTAGAGCCTCTAAAGAAGCTCTCAAGATAAATATTGATTTATAAAACTTATCTTAGTTGTATGGGTTTGCTGAGTTAAAGAATATATATATATATATATATATATATATATATATATATATAGCATTTGAAAGTCACTATTCTAGGCTTTTTGTATAATGTCTTAAAACTTCTACATGAAGATTTCCCTGTATTTTAATAGACACACAATTAAAGCTCCTACAAGCAGGTGCAGGGGCCTGGGGGTTCAATCCCTGGGCCTGCCACGCCAGCCCCACCCCAGGGGCACACTTAGCAACTGGGCATGGTGGTGAGCGCATATAATCCCAGCTCTTGGGAGGCTGTAAACAGCTGGATCACTATGAGTCCGATCTAGTAGTGAGGTCCTGAACACCCTGTATACCCTTCCCTAAAATACAAAAAAAAAAAAAAAAGCCCCGAAGAAATATTTTATTTTATTTTATGTTTTACAGAACCGGGGATTGAACTCAGGCCCTTAGCGCTTGCCAGGGAAGCACTTATCCTACTGAGCCATCTCCCCAGCCCAGAAATATTTTTTTTAAATGGACACACATTCACTTGGACACTTAAAGATGAATTACATTTCCCAAAATTCTGGAACAGTAGGTCTTGAATAAAGGCCTATAAATAAGTGTTTCACTTTAAGAAATACGACTAGACTCCATAAAAGTGATTCTTAAGTAGAAATCACACTAGAATCAAATGGAAAATTTTTAAATCACATATCCAGGTCCTACCTTGTAGGATTCTGGTTATAGGTCTAGGTAAGGTCTGAGCCTCTGTATTTTTGTTAAAAGTATTCTAAGTTATCCAACACAATATTAAAACTTGAGAATCTCTTTTGTAAACCACATTCTTTAGGATACTAGATGTGTTCCAATCACTTACTGAAAAAAACAAAACAAAACTGAAACATGATTAGGAGTTTCCCAGAGTCCATCTGGCTCTGTGACTAACGTTTTTTCTACATACTTGAAAACTTGTAGTTACATCTCACAAGAGTGGTATCCATAGAGTCAATAAGTCTTTACCACAAAGAATCAGAACACTGGATGTAGAGTCATAAAACCACAGATTTACATTTGCCTTTGCCATCAACCAGCTTTACAACTTAGGCGAGCCATTTGTTTTACCCTTCTTGGCTTATGTTTTCCTAAAGATAAAAGTAAAGACCCTGGACTAGATAGATGATCTCTAAAACCCTCCTTTTCCCATTATCCCATGATCACAGAAGGCTGTTAAAATATTTACTTTATTTTCATTGCAAAAAGACTTTAAGGCAATTAGAATACATGGAATGAATTAGTAAAAACTGCTAGAGATAAAAGTGTCAGTAGTTGACAGACTACCAAGCAATTCACAATTGTTCCAAATTAATTGAATTAAGAACAAAAAAATTAGAAAACTCATTAAAGAAGCTAAGATAGCAGAATTAGATTTGCAGAATAAGACAACAAAAGCCAAAGAGGAGGTCCCAAGCGGGAGGTCTAAGCCCCTTGTGTAGGTAATTTCTGAAAACAATCAAAAGAAGTGACAGATCTAGATCTGGTAGCAGCAGTCAATTTCCCCCAACATGTCTGAGTAGTTGGAAGGGTAGGAAGTGAGCAGTAGCCAGGACACCAATACCTGAGGAAGTACCAGCAGCTGGAACTGAGGAGCCAGAGGGAACAACGGCAACTGGAACTGAAGGGCCAGGAGAAACTGGAGCAGCTGGAGCATTAGGAGAAATAATGGCAATTCATGCTAGAGATGGTCAGGTTCAAGATCTATGCACTCCTGCTGACCACTTAGGAACTGGTAGATCACTTGAGCAAGTTTGTCAGAATGAACATTTTCTACACATGTGAGTGTAGGAAAGAGACAAGGAATAGAAAGGAAACACAGGTGGTCTGGTCTGAATGTCTGCTTCAACAATATTTCCATTTGATGAAGAACAGGTAATCATTTTCTTCATGATGGCTCTTTTCCTATCTGGCAACACACATGCACTCTAGTTAGAAAAGTGACTCAGTTACTTATTGACCACCGAACTGAAATGAAGCATGATGTATTTGCAGAGGAAACACATCCCCAGGAGATGTGAGAGAAGAATGCCAAAGAGCACGCTACCATCTCTGTTGTAGCTACCTGCTCCAAGATAGGAAAGGGCTGCTTTTGGGAAGCATGGCTCCAGGAAGCACTTTATTAGGACAGTGGTTTATAGTAAAGGCCATTTCCACAGAAAGGACCAGCAATTGCTAACTTTCAAAATGATTAGGGAAAAATATAAAAGGAACAGATACTAGAGAGTTCAGACCACTATATACAGCCTGCTTCTAGAAGGTATGTCCTTTGTGTAGATCAAGCAAATGGGAATTAAATTGTCCAGACAATCAAATAGTCTAAAAATTTTTGAATGACCAGAAACTCATTTGTATTAAAGTCACAACCATTGTATGTCTGATTGACTTAGTTTGTTTTCGAAAAAGGTTTTATTTATTTATTTATTTATTTAGTGTGTGTGTGGCCAGTTCAGCCCACCAAGGGGCGGGGCTGGCTGGCATGTGGTGCTGTGGGATTGAACCGTGGTCTCTGTGCTTTGCTTTAGTTTAGGTTGTTCTAAGTAGGTGCTTTAGACCACTGAGTCATCTCACCAGCCCTCGAAAAAGGTTTTAATAGTGAAAAGAAATGTAGTTGATCACAAGTCCGCATCTTGTACAGCAATTAACCACTAAGAATAATATATGCAGTGTATTATTTGTTGAAACTGTACTTCCGATTTGATTTGAAACTGTCTCATTGCTATATGTTTATCAATAAAACTGTAGAAAAAAAAAATGTAGTTGCCTCATTCCCCAGACTGAAGTTACTTTAGTGATATACTCACAGTCCAGAAGAAGGTATTATTTTTAAAATATTTAGAATAATAAACTTCAATGGATTATGTATTCCAAACATGTACTAATAAAAATAATAATGAAGTAAAAAGGATAAATCTTACAATTTTGCATGATTTTTGGAGTTATTACAATATGCAGGAAAATAACATGTAAGAAACAAAATAAAAACTAAATACACACACAAACCACTATAGAGCATCTAAATTATTTCCAGTGGGCTAAAAACAAGGCCTGCTAAGAAGTGAGAGGAAGGTGAGGCCCCAGGTTACGGGACAGATCACAAGCAAGGATTGCTAACAGTTACACGGTGTTATTAGGCAATAACTGTAAAACATATGTAACTAATTCATCTTATGATTCACCAATGTTAAGCTATTGACTAAGCTGAGTAAGAGGTCATTTGTAAAGCAAGAGACAATATTGATAAGTGCTGCTCTCTTGATGACCTCTTCAGCAACAGGTTCCCCCTCCTTCCCAAGAATGAATGAGGGAAGCAGAAGAAGTTAATGCCTATTTCCTAAAGGGGGCATGGTACTGCATGCCTGTATTCCTAGAACTCTAGGAGGCTGAGGCAGGAGGATTTTGAGTTTGAGCTCAGCCTGGGCAACTCAATGACTAAACAAGCCCCTCTTTAAACATAATAAAAAGCTGGGATTTAGTTCAGGGCACAGGCACTGGGTTCAACCTCCACCACTAAAAAAAAAAAAACCTATTTACTCATAGGTATGAGTGTCGGGGGGGGGGGGGGGTAACATGTGCCACAAGGTGGAGACTGAAATCTATTTCAGTTTTTAGGTGTATAACAACCAAAATGCCAATGATAAACTTGAATGTGGGTAGCCCCAGGTAGAGTCAGCATTTTCCCTAGGAAAATGTCACATATAAACCAATCATTTAATCTTAATACAAGAAGGCTATTGGCCAAGAAGGCTATTGGGAATAGCAGGTATGGCCAACACTGGAGTCTTATAATGTACCAGATAATGCTTTGAGTATCCTACATGCATTAACTCATTCATCTTCACCTCAAGCCTATTAATTCCACATTTTTTTCAGTTTTCAGGGAATTCTCTTTATATTTTATCTTTTATGAGTACATTTTTTCAGTACATAAAGAAAGGTCTAACTTTTAATTTCCCCTGCTTAACTGTCAAGGGAAAAGATACAGAATAGGTATAAGAAAATCCAGGATTTGAACTCAGGTCTGAATTCAAATTAAATTTCTATAATATAGTCATAGTCATAATAAATTCATAGTCCTAAATGTGACAAAAAGAGCTATTAAAAAGTGGAGGTTCCAGGGCCGGGGAGATAGCTTGCCTGGCAAGCTAGAATAAGTGCTTGCCTGGCAAGCACAAGGGCCTGAGTTCAATCCCTGGTTCCACAAGAAGAAAAAGTGGAGGTTCCAAATCTTTGCTAGCTACACTTCATGGATACATAAAGAAATAAAAAATTAATTCCAAAATATTAAATAGCCCAATCAAATAGGCAAATGGACTGAACAGACACTTCTCAAAAGATGTGTAGCTAGGTGTGGTGGTGCATGCCTGTAATCCCAGCACTTGGGAGGCTGAGGCAGGAAGATTGTTGAAAGTTTGAGACCAGCCTGGGCTATAAAGTGAGCTCAAGGCCAGCCTGAACTGCATAGTGAGGTTCTGTCTCAAAAAGACAAAAAAAATACTGAAAGACAGGACATACACAGAAAAATATTCAACATCTTTAGCCATTAGGGAAATGTAAATCAAAACTACATTAAGATTCAATCTTAGCTCAGTGAAAATGGCTATCATCAAGAATACAAAATAACAGTTAAGTGCCGACAAGGATGTGGGGAGAAAAAAAACCCTTCTAAACCCAAGGGTGAATGTGAACTAATATGGCCACTTTGGAAATCAATATGGAGGTTTTTCAAATAACTAAAAATAGAGCTACCATTTGATCTAGCTATATTGCTTCTTGATATATGCCTCAAGGAATTCAAGTCACCGTAACATAGGGATACCTGAATCACCATTTTTCATTGCAGCAAAAGATACAATAAAATAGCTGAGAACCAACCTAGGTGAGTGGATAATGAACATGTGGTAATTTACAAAATGGTGTCACTCAACAGTACAAAAAAAATTTTACAGTAGGGCATGGGGGTGCATGCCTATTATCTCAGCACTGAGGAGGCTGATGCAGGAAGCTAGTGGCAAGTCTGAGACCAGCCTGAGCTACAAAGTGAGCTGAAGACCAGCCTGCAGGTTGGGGAGACAGCTCAGCAGAATAAGCACTTGCCTGGCAAGTGCAAGATCCTGAGTTCAATCCCCAGTACCACAAAAAAAAAAAAAGAAAGAAAGAAAACCAGCCTGGAACACATAGTGAGATCTTGTCTCAAAAACACAAAAAAGGCCAGCAAGATAGCTCAGTGGACTGCAGGGACTGGGGTTCCATCCCAGGCACATGCTGTACCAGCCCTGCTCCCGGGCACGGTAGCCTAGAAGCAGACTCACGACATGTTGGCACACACCTATAATCCCAGCACTGGGGAGGATGAAAACAGGAGGATCACTGTGAGTCCAAGCTGCATAGTGAGACTCTGTACCAAATACATACATTTTTTTAAAGTTGTCATTTGCAGAAAAATACATACATGTGGATATCATGTTGACTGAAATAAGACTCAAAGATAAGTATCTCATGATCTCCTTAATCTACACAATCTTAAAAAGATAAAAAGAAAGTAGATGGAAGACCATTATTAGTTAACAGGAAGAGAAGAAGGACGGGGGACATAAAATATTGAATAGTAGACAAGAATACAACCAACATATTACGCACACTTGAAGTTTCCTCCAAAATGTGAAACTTGTGGGAAGGGTGAAGAAGATGATAGAGAAAAGGGATTGAAGTACATTATGAACAAGCCTGCCAAGATACAACTCATTAATATGTATAACAAATATGTACTGATAAAAAGTTGAAAACTGCATGGCAAAAAATTTGAGGATAAAAAAAGAATTCTGACCATAATTTGTAGTCCCAAGAAAGAGTTTAATGTGTTATGTGGAAACATCTTTGTGAGACAAACTGAGGACTGGGAGAATAAACCTGGAAAAATACTTGAGGAAAAAAATCTAAATCAGTTTCTTTTTATTTAAACTAGCCAGTGTTGAAGAATTCAATCAGTAAAACATATAGCAATATTGCTTATCCAGAATTCAGGGAGCTGTAAGTCAATCATACAACTGTGGGAATAAAGACTGAATTTCTTTTTGAATTAGATGTGATCCATCCTACTAATCTGTCTTTTGATTGGTGAACTGAGTCCAGGGGTTTTAGGTGGTTTGCTAACTATGGCTTCTTTTGCTCATTCTTTGAAACAAAACTCAGTTCTAGAAAATTTTGAGTTCTAAGTTCCTTCAGACTCCTCAATAGATAACAAGATAGGTTATCAAGCCCTTTAAAAATACTTACGAAGACAATGCTGAAAGGAAAAATATCAGAGTCAAGGATAACTAAAGAGAGGGAAAAGAAGCCAAATGCCAACTTCAGATCCAGGGTCCCAAAGCTCTTGCCAATCCACCAATGATGTCATCATAGTAAATGGCTGTGTCACAGTGCAATAGCAAATATCCCTTCTCAGTATTTCACTTTTTCAGCAAACCTATGTCCTGGACACCAGGGGTGTTCGGAAATTCACCCATCCTGCATTACCTGTCACTACCCTGTTGGTGAATGAATTTGTGTCTAAACCATGAGCAAAGAAAGTGACACAGGAAGGAATGTTTAAAAACAGAAAATATATAAACTGCTCCTTTAATTCTGTTTAATACTGTTCATGAGTTA